TTAGTCCAATTTGTAAATAGTTTTATTAAACACTCTTCTTTAAAACTTTAAAACTGGAGTGTAAAAACACAGTTTGATTCAAGATGAAACAGCACTTGTTTCTGCCATGAGCATTTTTAAAATGCTTCAAAAATAAATATATGTGAGTTACTGTTGTTACACTGAGTTGAACTATGTAAGTTATGTTAAAAAGCTAAAAAGGACTGTCCTTAGATTTAGGTTTAGTGTCACTCAAAACGTCAGCTTTGACCCTGTGAAGGTGGTCAGTCCTTTGTTACAAATGACCTTGATTGGAGAGAGTAAGCTTACTTGTGATTGGCAGATTGGTTTGTAATTCCCTTCCGAAAATCTGTTTCAACATATGAAAGATAATGTATCCCCAAAATAATCTTTTCATTTATTTTAATTCTCTGTGGATGTGAGGAGGACGCACATAAACCTGTCTCTTTACAAGAACATCCCAGAATACATTTTCCAGCTTGTTTCACACATTTGTCTCCAAGAAATTATGTTCTCTAGACAGTCCAACTGTAGCAGGAGTGTGACCTTTTTTAAAATAGCAACTATATTACATTCATGACTGTCTTAGCACTTGCACTTCATTAAAATGCTCTAGTTATTTAAAGTTTTGGAAAAGTCATCTTACATCAGGGCTCTGGTGGGAACCCTGGAGGAGGACTGAGGTCGATAGTGACTCATTTTCACACCTCTTCTCCCGCCATGACAAACCCACTCCTCAGCATAGGCAGCAAATTAAAACCTCAAACTCTAACGACCCTCTTTCCTCATATCTCCTCTCCTCCCTCTTATTGTATTCTTGCTTTGTGTCTCTCGGACTATACTGCTCCACATTATCATAGATTCTTTCTGTCAGCCTCCTTCCTTCTTCTCCTCTCCGCTCTCCTTTTATTTAGTCACTCAGTTTCCTCTCCTCTCTCTCTGATAAACAGTAGTTTGTCACTGAACATTTAAAAGGTCTTGTTTAGCCTTTTTGGGGTTTTCCTCTTTCCTGTAGTGTTTTATTTAGGTTTCTGTGCATGTAAATGGTTTGTAAAGACAAAAAAATCCCCTGAAAATTCTCTTCCACAAACTCCCCCCCCCTGCCTAAATCACCTCGAATAGACCCCTTTCCCCTAAGGAGCGGGGAATCTCTAAGCTGTTGACCAATCACAACAGAGCCGGCCAGCTAACCAATCAGAGCAGACTGGGCTCTGGTTTCAGACAGAGGGTGAAAACGGGCAGTATGAGCAAAATAAAGAGCTTTCTGAACCTTACAGCATGGAGACATGTCACAGCAGAGACACACAATACAAACATGAACCTACAAAGGAGCATAATAGGGTGCCTTTTATCAGTAGCCTAATTAATGATTTTTCTTTGTACATTTGCATCGCAGCAGGACCTGTAAAGCAGAATCCTTTAACAGCATATCGAGTTCAATATTTTCTCTTTTCTCTCTTTATATCTGCTGTGAGATTGGATTACTTTGCCGTTTTGTACCACCAAATATTAAGCCTAATGACTTGTATGTACTGATCTACTCGTGGCCCTCACAAAATGTTCACTTTAATGAAGATCGTGTCGGGGACTTGATTAGGGTTTTAACAGAGAGGATTACGTCTTGGTCTTTTCATTCTGGCCATTGATAAAGTTAATAACAGGCTTATGATGCTCTCAGGAGGATCCCACTGATGTCTTGTGTAGCCGTGTGGCTGAGTGTTTATTATTCCTTCGTTTCTACTGCCCATAATTCCCCTCTCCTCTCCCGTCATTTCCCTCTCCTACTGTGCTATTCTCTGGGTCTTTTCTCTCTGCGGTGTTGTATCTCTTTTAGTTCCTATTCCCCAAAGCTAAAGATGTGTCATCAGGTTGCCACGACAAAAGCTTTGACTATTATCCAGGTGGAGTGGGGGTGGTGTCAGACAAATTATAGTTTCTTGGAAATGTCAATCATTTCAAAGGAAGTAAATAGCCTAACTCATGTGTGCTAAGTGGATAGTGAACCCTCCGAAAGGTGGAAAGTGTTCCTGATAATTCACATCCAAGCCTTTTCTTTTAGCATTCACTCTCTGTGCCGTTAAGTAGTTACTTAAGCCCCTGTCACACTGTCCCGAAATGTACACCCGATGGACACACGAATATTGAATTTCGCACAAAGATGGCCCCGGACCACACACAAAGGCAACATTTACATTACATTTAAGACATACAACTGCAACAAAAGTAACACAAACAATTATGTTAAAGTATTATGATACTGTACTGATATTTTCAGACTTTGTTCTTTACTTTCTCTGTCTGTAGAAGATATTAAGTTTTCTCCGTCATGTTGTTCCCATAGCAACAACAACTTCCTGTCAACTTGCCTTCAAAATAATATATTATATCCTTTTCAGTTTCACAGAACACAAATTGGGTTATTTACATAATATGTTTACATGATTTTGTTGTACAATTAACAACCAGATGGACACACGATAAAGGAAATGTTCAAATTCGGCTCTGATCGTAACAACATCGGGACATTCGTGAGGGCATCTTAAGCCTTCGTATGACCGCCGGTGGAGTTTCTCAGGCTCCGGCAGCAACTTTGTGAGCGGTGGCTAAATCTTTGGCATGCCAAAATATTGCCAAAAAATTGCCGAAGGACCTTGCGAAGGTTCATTTTCGTGTTGAATTCGTGTGTCAATTTTGCCCTTCGTAAGGCCCTCGTTAGGGCATCTTGTCAAATCGTGTCATCTTCGTGTTATCATCGGTGCCATCGGGCATTCGCCCCGATCAGAGTGAGGGCGAATGCCCGATGGCACCGATGATAACACGAAGTGCCCTCACGAGTGCCTTACGAAGTTGCCGCTCACGAAGTTGCTGCCGGAGCCTGAGAAACTCCACCGGCGGTCATACGATGGCTTAAGAAGCCCTCACGAATGGCCCGATGTTGTTACGATCAGAGCCGAATTTGAACATTTCCTTTATCGGGTGTCAATTCCGGGGAAGTGTGACAGGGGCTTTAACAGCTGAAGAAACCAAATAAAAACATGCAAATATGCTTTTTATGCAAGACCTCTGAATCACTTACAGACCTGAACCATGACTTCCCACCCTGAAGGTCCATCTGACAAATCTCAAGGGTCATGAGATGTTTTATGGATAACAAGAAGAACAAAATTGCAACAACAAAATGTCTTCGCTTCATTCTTGTGAAACCAAGGATAGATTTATCTCTATAAATAATATCCAAATGAAGGGAACTCACTAACTATTTGGTTAAACTGCTCACATATAGACCGAGTCAAAGTTGACTTACAGCCCATAACCTTACTGAGTCTCACCACTCTCTTCAACCTGAGCCCAGCATTATTCAGCAGACGGACAAAAAACGGACAGTCTGATGAACAAAGAAGAGCATGAAGCAGTTTCTGCCTGACATTTCTGTCATGAGTTGGTGTTGATGATCATCCAGGTTGTTGGAAACATTATATCAAATTACATTTAACTTACATTAAGTACATTAAACCATGATGAGACAAACTCAAAAAGCCACATTAGCTCTCAATAAGAGAACTATTGTACGGCTTCAAATATTTTTAAGTGATACGTACAGAAATTGCCTGAAGTTGCAACACATTGTTATATGTTGTGATGTAAGTGTCAAAATGAAATTCAGTTAAAGCCCTTAAAGTTATCATTTCAAAACTCAAGGTGTGTAGCTATCTATTATTTTTATTTATTATCCTACAATACATTTTTTCAAAAAATATTATTTGGTTTGAGGTGTGCATTAAGTGAAATGTACGCCTTTGCTTCAGTCCATTATCTCAATATCTGTCATATATGCACTATGTTCTCTCAGACACTTCAGCTCTGACGAGTCTCTGTAAAACCTTTTTCTTTTTCTTTGGTGTCCTTTGCTTTCATCATGTTGGCTGTTGTGTTGCCATGGAACAAACCCTTTTTCCTGTTTAGGGGACTGCAGTGTGAATAAAGCGAGTCCATACTGGGATGCAGAGACCAAAGACGGATGAGTAGGAAAAGTGTCCGATATGTGTGGGGCGTGTAGTGAGGGTCTAAACTATGATTTGACTGCCTCATAGACTCCAAATCACCAAATGGGGTTGGATGGAGAATAAGTGTTAGTCAATAAAACGTCCACCCAAGTACACCTCCATGCCCACTATGGTGTGTATGTGTGTGTGTATTTTCAGTCAGCTGTGAAATGGGTGATTCCTCCTCCCGGTTTAAGAACCAAGGGTAATGATGTAGAATGGAAGAGGTTTATAGAGGCATTAAGCCCACCTCTTACTCCCTCTCTCTCTCCCTCTCTTCTTCTCAGTCCCTGGCTCTGTTTCTCCCCCTCCCCTCTTCCTCGATGTCCCCCTCTCTCTGTTTTTATGGTGGCATTATTATCTCGCTCTCCCACCCATTACTGTTCAGGTTGGAGCAGAATAATAAATTTCAGGATCATGCCGACGCAGCGTTTCTCCTGCTGAAGCTCATTCTGTGGACTCGACAGAAACACTGCATGGAAACACAAGACAACAAAGATTGTAGCATAATCTCTTTCTCCTTACTTTTGAAACTACTTTTAGGAAAACTATCATAAGTTGAAGAAGCAGCTGTAGTTGTTTTTGTTTTGCTGTATTCCTGTTTAAGAAGTAAGCACACTACCACAGTCATACAATATTTACATATGCCTTTAAGAAAACGTAAAATGTTGGTACTTTTATATCCACATAATATAAACTCAATCGGGTCGATCAGTCCACTTCATGGTCTTAGTTGAATACAACTCTTTACTTGATTAGTCTTTTGCATGCTGAATAATTTATGTACATGAACAGAATATTTCAAGTGGTGCTTTTGCAAAATTCCTGCCTTTGTTGGTGCATAACCACCACCTGTAGATCAAGTTGTATAATGTCATAACATAGCCAGTAATATGTATAGAGTAACTTGAGTATATGTATGTGCGTCCATACTGATCTGTCTGTGTCTTTCTTCAGATTTCAGCGTACGGAGGGAGTTTGGTCTACACTGTGTCCTATACTACAGACCAACAAGAGCCAATGGCCATCAGAGTCACCTCCCAACCCGACCTGATCATAGAGGTAAGATTCTAAACACATTGGTGTAGCGACCGTTCACAAACATAACCACTGAGAGGGCTAAGTAGTAGTCTAAAGTTTAATTAATCTCCATGAATTGTATTTCAATGCAAAGCAAAGCGGCAAGTTGTAAACATAATCGTTATTGCGATACATTGTGATAAATATTGTGGCCCTGAACTATCCCCCTGCCCTTAACAAACAAAAGTAATGATCAGAAGGTGCAGAAGTAATGTCATTTACCAACTGTAACACTCAATGAAAACCCAAAACAGATTCCTTCCCCTACACTCTGATACAAATGAAGAGGCATACTGTAAATTAAACTCTAATTAAGAGCAGTTTAACTTTAATGCGTACTTGCTTTATTAAACCATTTGGGTACATTTCGGAGATTCATTGTGAGCAGACGGTTACATTCCTCAAAACAGCTAATTTCCTTTGGGCAGCTGTGAGTGTTTCCAACATTTAACACATACATGACTTTGTTGTGTTAAGGAAATGGTCATGACCAGAGGAAACCCACGAAAACACAAGTGTGTGTGCGTTTATGCATTTAGGTCTGCAGCGTTATTTATCTATTCCCACAAGCCATTGACTTTTGCACCAGTGAAGACCACTAAATGAAGCAGCAAATAAAAGCTGTTAAAATCACGCACACCACACACACACACGCACACGCACACACACACACACACACACACACAGAGAAGCAGCTACAGCTGGCAGAGAAATGCTGAACTTAGCAATAAAAAATGCAGATAGTCCCTCCCTCCCCTCTCTGTATGTCTTTATAATGAGCAGGTTGTGATATGATGTATGGCAGCAATAAGCAAAGCAGCAACACTATTAGTTAACTCTTAAATCTCTAACAACATTGTGTGTGTGTGTGTGTGTACAGAACACACACAAATACAAACCGGCATGTAAGTAAATTGGTGTGTGTGGGTGTGGGCATGTTTTAAAGCGTGCCAAAGCTGCAGAAATGATCCCGTTATTTCACACGCACAACTTTCTACCAATGACGTTAAAGGAAAATATGTTTTAATTAGAAAAGTTCGAGAATATAAATGCTCTGTAATAAGCTGCAATGACATGTGGAAATAAACTTCTCTGGAACTGACTGCTAAATAATTGAACGACAAATACAAAGTTGTGTCTTTAAGATATGACATTTAAATTAAATTAGGACAGAAATGCAAACATTTGTCTCACAAACTTTAAGTTTCTGTGCCTGTTATTTAGTAAACCTGCTATGAAAATGCACACTTTAAGCAGAAGAAAAGGAATATACAATGGGAAGAGTGAGAGGAAAGAAGGAAACAAATAAAGGATGGAAGGAAGAAGGAAACACAGTGAGAAAAACGAGAATCAGATGATGGGAAAGAAAGATGGTAAATGAAAGGAAAGGAGAAAATGATGGAGGAAGTTAGACAGAAGAGAAAGGATGGAAGGACATTAGGAAACGAAGATAGAAAATGAAGGTAGACAGACGGAAATTAACACAGAGGAAGGGAGGATGGGAGAAGGGAGGTAAGTCGAGACAAGAAAACTGCTGAGATGGATAGTCACAGACCAATGAGCTTCTGTTATTTAAAGATGTGTCAGTCAGAGTGACAGATTGGGAGGAGAGGAGGACAAGTGTCGGCCTTGTTGTCAACAAAAAGCCTCTCCAAATGATGACGATAATGAACCACCTACACACTGTCACCGGCTTTCTCCCTCTTCACTTCTCTCTTTCAGTCTTTGTCTTGTTTGGCATCTCCTCCCCCCCCACACTGTTTACTCTCGGCATATCTACATCAAGTTGTGATATTGTTTGTTGCATGGTTTGTGAAGCGCAGGCAGGAGCCTTGGTTGTAAGTATGCGGGATCTGAATAGACAATAATCTCTCTGTCTTTGTTTGTCTGTACGGCTTTGTTGATTTCAACATCTTTCTCTCCCACTTCATCAGCCCTCCATCTGCTGAGTTACAAAGAAATACCAAACATTTCACGACAGCAATAAATACTGACAGTGCACTGCATCTGGAGTTCTCGCTGTAAATAATAGATAAAAACTTGATTTTGATTTGTTTCTAAACTATATTTTAATGCAAAGTAATCTTATAAGTTCTTCTGTTGGTAGCACAAAATGCTTTTTCGAGAACCATTTAGAATCAGGTTGAAAGAAGTACAAACACAATTATCTTACCTCTCGTTTCGGTTTACTCAATATTTCCTATTTAAAGGGGACCTATCATGCAAAATGCACTTTGTGATGTCTTTTATACAGAAATATGTGTCCCCGGTGTGTCAGGGAACTCACGCAGCGTCAGAAAATAAAACCCTCTCTCTTTTCCTCCGTTCCCAAATCTTTAAAAAACGGGTGTACAACGAGCGGATACAGATTTCCATCCGCTGTGACGTCGGCGGACCCACAGAAAATTGCTATCAGAAACAATGCCTGACCCGTTTTGGACGTAATCTCGTTTTTGTTTACATTAGCAAGCCTCGCTAACACTCAGAGCTAACCTGTACTGTAGAGCACATGTGTTTAAAAAGCAGGAAATAAAAAAAGGAACTCACCTTGTGATAAACCCGCAAGAGAAAAAGCATTTGAGCTCCATACTGTTTCAGAAATAATCTTTGACGTGGTTTAAACAGGATGGCGTTTTATCACAACCAAATTTAACTTTATCTCCAGTAGAATTCTGATCAGACATTAGGTCCGCCTCCTCTTCTTTCTTTTTTTCAAGCTAAGGACCCAAGATCCGCGTTTCTCTAACAGGGCTTCAAAAGAGGGGTTTGAGCAGTATGAGGCATGGCTACAATGGGTGATCTGTTTGGTATTTTGAAAAAAAAACTTCACAGACATGTTTTGTATAGGTATGGCCCTACAATATATTATTCAAATATAGCATGATAGGTCCACTTTAATTAAAACGTTTTTACCCCAAAAAGACCAAAAGCAATATTTAATGTATCGTTATATTGTCTGTGTTTCCAATTAAATGTGGCCCAATGATGCTCAACCAATGTGTATAAATCCGCAGCTGAAAATAGTCCCAAACAAGTGTTCTCTTTACTCCTGTTAGTATTGATTGCTCAACACTTGCCCAGCTGCTTTGGGAAGTGACCTTTCCTTTTTAAAACTAAAACTATTATATATTTGACTACACATAATTTAGAGGAATGAATATACTTTAACCTGAAAGCTAAAGGCAACAATGCAATGTTTTTTGTCTTTTCTTGGGATTTCCTTCCAAATTAAACCTTATCCGTTTAATTGATAATTTTTTAAAGATGTGATTACTACAAGTAACCAACAATAAAACATGGCCTCTCTTTCAGAAACTTAATGAAAACACTTTCCTCAGAGGTGACTTTGTCTTTTCTTCTTGTCAATCTGCCTCTTTTATTTGTGTCTCTCTTTCTTTCCGTCTTTATCTCTGCATCTCTCAGCCATGCTTTGTGTCCCTTTATCCCTCCCTCCATCGCCTCTCTTTCAATTAATTTTTATTTAATGGTTTATTGGCATGGTGAGCTCTCTCTCTCTCTCTCTCTCTCTCTCTCTCTCTCTCTCTCCATAAGTAGTTGTCACTCTGCGTTAGCCACTACATGCCATTGATCTGTTCTCAACAAGAGATAGTCAGATACCAGTCTCCAGCTCAATTCACTTTGCATTCAGTCCATTCAAAGTGTCAATAGAGACTGCAGCTCATTACCTAATGACACATCATTCACTCTCACTGTCTCTTTTTCTGCAGATCAGATGCATATTCCTATAAAGGAGGTGTCATACTCTATTTATGTTTTGGAGAATATCCCCTGTCTAGATGTATGCAATTAAAAATAAGCTGCAAGAAAGAAAAAGATGAACACAAGTTTTTTCTTCTTTCTCTGCCAGGGAGGCGGGATCAAGATTATTGACAGAAGGTTCGGCCAACCGGTGTACCCGTCATCGCCAAGCACCAATCACATTCCTCTTTCACCCGCTAACTTCCTGGTTGCAGAGAGCGCTCAGCCAATCGGTCGCAGGGATTTCTTGTCAGTGTTGGCCAACGTGACCAGAGTGATGGTGCGGGCCTCTTATAGCACAGAGACAAGCGCTGTGTACAGGTAGAAACACACACACACACACACACACACACACACACACACACACACACACACACACACACACACACACACACACACACACACACACTGACAGGCATTATGGCATAGTTACTTACTGTACATTAGGTCAAAGGTCATGGACAAACTCATTATTGTTATTTGTACCTGTAATATTCCAACAAATGTAGTATGATGTGATTCTGCNGGGACCTGTAAGGAGGCATGTGTTGAGTCAAGGTGACAAAATACGACTACGTAGTGTCGAGTGGAGAGTTGTAGTTAAAGAGGTGGTGTGTGTGTCGAAGTCGTGGAGTGAGATGGTGAGAAGTTTGTACAAGATTGTGTGTCCAGCGTTGAATATTGGTACCCGGGTGGTGTGAAGTGCAAGTTGTAAGTCTAAAGATAGTAATGGTAGCTTTCCGATTAACGGGGGGAGGTGTGACAATGAACCGTAAGCTACAATGCGACAGATTGGTACGAGTAGACGATCAAGCCAGTGTTTTTCGTAAGAGGTCCGTACGTCCGTACTCAAAGGAGTAGTAACTGGACCGACGACTTGAGACTAGGTACGGAAAATTATTGTAGGGCTGACCTAATACGTGTCGTATCAAAAAACCTAGTGGGACGGTAAGCTTGATTTTGAAGTTATACAGGTTTTTTGGAGGTCGACGGCGAACGAGGGAGGTGGGCCGCGAGGTTGGTGTAGTGGGGATAGGAGGTACTGAGGTGACCGAGGGGTAGTTTGGCGTAACTGAAATTTTTAATGAAAAGTGAAAGTTTCGGAGTGTGGAACGGGGGGGTGGGGGGGATGGAGAACTGGAGTAGTTGTGGTAGGGGTGGGCCGCGGAGTCCAGGACGACTTCGATTGGATGAACGTCGGGTAGTCCTGTTTCGAGGCCTGGACCACTGTCCCGGAGCGTGTCGGAGGAGGTGTGAGACCTCGAGGAGGGTCGGTGCAAGTCTAGGGCGGTAGTGAGGGAGGTAGTAAGTGTAGGGGAGTGAGTGAAAAGTGGAGATCGAAAGTTGAGGTTAGGTATTGGGGACGGAATAATAAGGAGGATGGGAATCGTGAAAAATGAAAACAACATAAACAAAATGAACGAACATTCGCAAAACTCGGGTCCTTTCGCGAATATTTTCATTACATAATAATAATAATAAATAATAAATCAATCCTCACGCGCAAGTGTATTTTCTCCACCTAGACCCCCCCATATGATAATGCTCGTCCTAAAAGCGAATTGCCGATTGAAGTCCTTTGAGCCAAAGGCAGCTGCTCGGACCAGAGAAAATCGTCGATATAGAGGTACCATTTAATACGGACCACGCGATTTGACGTCAATCCAACGTTCCGATTCTCCGAGTGAGTCACTTTCGTGACGGGGACGACTGTTATTCTTCCGAGTCACACCGCCTCAAATTTCGCTAGTCAGTATAATGTCTCTTACTTTATGTCTTTGACGGCAACGTCTTTCTGCCGGCCGTTTTTAGGGCTGAGCACTTTTCATCGTAATATCTTATAGTGGACGGGGTAGAAGTTCGTTAGACTGATAATATTGTAATCGCATTCATTCGAATGAATTTATAGCGGGATGTGTATCATTTGGCCTAGTCTCATTGTAATTCATTTCAGGCGCGTATAGTGTAGTATGGTACATAGTATATAAGGAATAGACTCAGTCCGACCGGCATAGAACCGCCGCACCGTTACAAAGACTATATCGTTGCGCCGATTGAGTTTGTATATGTCAATCTCACTTCGGTCGAAGCATCATGTCCGAGACTCAATGTTACTTACGGTCTAAAAGCCGACAGTACCAACTGTCCATAGTAGTACATCCCGCAACATTATTCGGTGAGACTCCAGTTCACCCGCTTCGTCTTGTCACCACACTTATATATATATAATGGCGTAGCGCGACGTTATTGAGTATCTACATTGGTCCGGAGTGTAAAGTGTGAAATAAACACTCCGGAAATCTCTATAGATGTTTATTTCGTGCATTCCCAATCTCGGGATCCAGTCCCTCACATATCCACAAGACAACATTACTTATACGGCCCCGGGTCCGTTTCCGTAACAAACCTGATTGTCATCCACTCCACAAACACGCACAGAACACACACACCACACACACACACACACACACACACACAACGCACACACACACACACACACACACACACACACACACACCACACACCACACACACACACACACACACAGACACACACACACACACACAGCACACCACACACACAGTTAGTTAGTGAGTTACAAATAAATATATGCGGGTTATAGTGTTTACAATGTAAACAGAGTCACCTGAAGTGCTCAAACATGTTCTTATTAGCCATACTGTTTGAGTGCTGTTGGAGACAGGAATCTGCGTGAGTAGCAGTTCCCTTTTTGAAGGTCTCTTTTGCGGTGTCAATTTCCCTTTTTTACCCTCTTTGCGGAGTCCTCTCGTTGTCTCCTCCCTAGGAGAGGGTCCTGCCTGTCTTGCACGTTCTCTGCCGGCCACACGTTTAACTTTTCTATTATGTAAACGTTGTATCCATCAGTTTACAAACCTACGGTACAACACATATTTACTCTCTACCTTAGGTGCTTCATGTGTGTAGGTAGGTCTGAGTACTAGTCCTCGTGTCGGTGCCGAGTTCTAGATCCTGAGCGGTTAGGAGTTGTCGTCCTGGCGTCTAGTACGGTACTGAGCGCCTAGGCCCTATATGGTCCGGTTTTCTTTCTTAAACCCCTTCGACCCAATGGTAGCTTGTGACTCTCATGTGTCATAGTCTGTCTCTCTTCCGTCTTCATTCTTACAGGGGGTCCCCCCCCCCCCCCCTGTTTGATTTCGGATTATAGTCCGTTTGATCCCCCCCGACTAGATTAGTCGGGATTGATAGTGGTCGCAATAGTTTTTCCTCCCAGAATTCGCGTGAGAATTTTTGCCTTATCCCACAGACGCAGGGTTGTGTCTGACCTTCGGTGGAACAACGACATAAGTCGTGGACTTAGAATTGCAGACGGTGTAATACTCCTCTCGTCGCAGTCAAAAATACGTTGTCTAATAGACTATGAAATCACAGGAGCCAACGCCCGCCGAACTGCCACAAAGGTCCAATATTGACTTCAGACAGATCCACGACAAGTCTTCAGGTGACGTAATTAAGTCAGGGGTGTGGAGGAACAAAAACTAGCATCCGTAGCACGACGTACACGCAATAGAAAAGAACAATAGTAAGCAACAGAGGACAGCTAATTACTTCTGTTATATACTGCTATGTTTTCTCCATATGGTATGACATCCGCCTCTACAGAACGCTTTTTGTCATCGATCGACCCGAGTCGTTGCATACGCTAACTCCTGGCTCCCCGCCTGACCCCCTTTTTTCACCGTGGACACAACAGTTCTCATACGAAATCCCACCCATAATATTAACTGTCTGTACCGTGCGTGCAGATATACGAGATCACTGCCACAGACACCATCTTAGAGCCTTAACCGGACACCGCCTGTCTGACCTTTAAAAGTAACTAAATATTTATAGTACGAATTATTTTTTGTTTTTGATAACGTAAACTTCTAAATACGAGCCAAGTCATGAACCTGCGATGAATACGAAGATTACTCGATGTACAGATCACAGAGATATTTAAGTCATCCGAACAACACTCAACGGATCCGTTTTATCAATGTCGTATAATAATCACTAAGAATTACAATTAGTTCGTTAAGTATATACTCAACGAGAATACAACGTTGTGAAAACCAGGATGTAAATGATGAACAGAAGGGGACCAAGTACAGAACCCTGAGGGACGCCATGATTGACGGGGGCTGTGGGGGATTTGGAGTTGTTAATGGAGATGAATTGATGTCTGTCAGAGAGATAGGATTTAAACCAGGAGAGGGCAGTACCGGTAATGCCAATGGAAGACTGGAGGCGGTTGATGAGGATGGAATGGTTGATCGTGTCAAATGCGGCTGTTAGGTCAAGGAGAATGAGAATTGAGAGGGAACCAGAGTCAGCAGAGAGGAGAATGTCGTTGGTCACCTTGAGTAGGGCAGATTCTGTGCTGTGGCGAGTACGGAAACCAGATTGAAAAGGTTCATGAAGGTTATTGCAGTCCAGATGGGATCTTAGTTGGGAGGCAACAGTTCGCTCCAGAATTTTTGACAGGAATGGGAGGTTAGAGATGGGCCGGTAGTTATTGAGGGAATCAGGGTTGAGACCAGGTTTTTTGAGTATGGGAGTGACAGCAGCGAGTTTCAGATCAGGGGGGACGAGTCCAGTGGACAGAGAGGAGTTAATGACTGTGGTGATAAGATGAGTGAGTTGGGGGAGGCAGGCCTTGACAAGGGTGGAGGGCATGGGGTCCAGGATGGAAGTTGAGGTATACATGCCGGTGACTTGGGCAACTATGTCCAGTGAGGTAATTTGTCTGAAGGCTGTAAAAGGGTGCCTGGAAGGAGGAGGGTAGGCAGGTTCCGGAAAAGGATGGGTGGTGGACGAGACGGAGGAGTTGGCTATGTTGCTGTGTATTATTTCAATTTTGCTTTGGAGGAATGAGAGGAAGGATTCACACTTTGAGGTGGTGAAGGAGTTGGAGATATTATCCATGGGGTTGAGGAGCTTGTTAATAGTTGAAAAAAGGGACTTTGGGTTATTGCTGCCAGATTGTATTACAGAGGAGTAGTGGAAGGAGCGTGCACTGTTGAGGGCATCTTTGTACTGCTGTTGGTGCAGTCTATAAATGTCTTTGTGGATAGTGAGACCAGTTCATTTAGCATGTCTTTCGAGCTGGCGACCTTTCGTTTTGAGGCAACAGAGATGATCGGTGTACCAGGGGGCCGAGTGAGTGAAAGAGACATACTTGGTTTTTATTGGAGCGAGTTGGTTGAGACAGGAGGAGAGAGCATTGTTGTAGGTGTTGACCAGGTCAGTAGGGGAAACATTCTGGGTGATGGTGGAGTCAGGGATGGTGTCAGCCAGTAGGGA